AAAAGACGAAGACGAAAAGACGAAGTCGAAAAGACGAAGACGAAGACGAAAAGACAAAGACGAAAAGACGAAGACCGGAAAGTGAAGACGAAAAGACGAAGACGAAAAGATGAAGACGAAAATTCGAAGAATGAGAGACGATGACGAAAAGACGAAGACGAAAAGACCAAGACGAAAAGACGGAGACGAAGAGAAGAAGACGAAAAGACGGAGACGAAAAGACGAAGACGAAAAGACGAAGACGAAAAGACGAAGAGGAAAAGACAAAGCCGAAAAGACAAAGGCGAAAAGACGAAGACGAAAAACGAGGACGAAAAAACGAGGACGAAAAGACGATAACGAAAAGACGGATTTGATAAACGAAGACGATACGCGTAATACGAATGACGAAGATGAAAGTAATATACCAAGGGATATAACAAAGACAGAAACGAATGAAGAAAATGAAAGAGGAAATGCTAAGTCGATAGACAAAAACAGAGGAAACAGAGAATAATGAAGAATACTTTTTCTCTAGATGCATCTCAGTGTCCTGATGCCTCTCAAATCCTAAAAATGTGTCCCAATATTTATTGCTGGTATTTTAAGTTACGGTAAATTGTAGATAAACATCGGTACTTTTATACGTCACCAAATGGTTTTCGATGTCGTTGAAAACAGTGACAAACAGTGATATTTAACTTTATTGATGTTTTTAATATGAAACATTTCCAAGAAAATGTCCTGGTTCTAATGGGGGACACAACATGTCAATATTAATTTAATGTATATTGTCTTAAATCTGACTGTCATTTTAATTTTCTAATTATTGTAGTTAAGGTTTAAGTTATAGTTTAACATAATACCACGTACAATATAATAAAACTAGTGGTGCTGCAGAATGATGCAGTCTTTCCTGTATTAGTTTTCTATTTCCTTTGATCTCGCCTAGCTATTCGGACTTTCCGTATACTCTTGCCAGCTGTCATCTATCGCCCCCAAAGTACTTTTTTTTTTTAATATTTTCTTAATTTTTCGCTTTCTTAATAGTAGAACAGAAATATTAATTTATGAATATTAAAGTACAGTACAACCTCGTCATAAATGGCAATTTACTTTGAAAAATTTGGAGCCGATTTTGAGAAAATGGCGTTTAAACACTTGTAAATGCAATAGTTGAACCTCTTTTCACCGAATAGAGGTGTCGAAAAAATTCATATGAATTCATTTCAAGCACTTCCAATTACAAATGCAAAAGTGTTTACAAATAGCTGGAATTGTGCATATTAAAAGCATGAGAGACTTTAAAGAAATTATATTTGTGTATTTTTTTAAAAAATGAAATGAATACAGCAATATTGTCATCTTAAACAGGGCAAATAGCACTATCTGTTGGACAAGTTTGAAGAAAATATTTGGAGACCGTTTTGAAAAAAATGGCGTTTGATCATTTCTGGAAATAAGGAATTTTGAGCTCATTTTCACATAAAACGGTTGAGTTTTCGGTAAACTTTATCTGACATTATTTAAAGCACATATATTCATAATTACATTAATGTAGACAAAATGCCGCTATTGTAAATATTAACGACGCGAGAGACAAGACGTAAAATAATTTTTTTGTAGTTTTTGAAAAAAAACAAAAGAATAGACTAACATGGCATTTATGTCATCTTATAGAATAAATTTAGCACTATCCCTTCCAATAGTTTAATGAAAAAAAAAATTGGACTCGTTTTTTAGTTTCTTTGGTTCTTGTTTTTGTAATTTTTTAAAACTGCAAATATTGCACGGAATATCGAAAACACCTATTTTTTAAAAAAAAAAGTATATGGCATTATTGAAAGAACTAAATAATGAGAACAAACTTAATATGAAGGAAAAAATCTCTATATAACCAATTTTGAAGTTACAGGAAGACGCGGAAAAATGCAAACGTTTGCAATTATGGAAATTTTAGTTAATTGTGAAAATCGGACCTATGCCACTTTTTAAGTGTATTTTACTCTATTCTTACAAGAAATCTAAAGAAAAAAATTGGAGCCGTTTTTGAGAAAAAAATTTAAATGCCCGGTGGGCTTTATATACAGTACCCCCAAATTTTAAAGATTTATTTTCAAAATCTCATAGCTTCTACTCGAACCAGATGGACAAGGGTGTCTTCAATTTGGAAAAGAATCCTAAGTATGGTTTAGGCGCTAGTGGTGTTCACAGAAGGACGTTTTGAAGAAAACACCTTTTCGGTTTCAGGGGACCCCAAAACGTGTATTTCCGTTGAAATCTCGAAATCGATTTTCTGCTGCATTATATAAATTTCCTTATATTACGTATATTCGGGAAAGTAAAACAGTAACAACCCTGAAGAAAGGTTGCGAATAGCAACCGGCTTCGTGTCACCTGGGGATCGACAAAGGAGGTGAATGAAATAAATGGCTGTTACTGCGTGTTATCCACAAATAAAATAGTTCAAATTATTTTTATATCGTGACTATTATTATTATTATTATTTTAAATTTTTTTAAACCTCGTATGTTTCTGGACAAATACATCGATGTTATAATATTGATATTTCTGCTCGAAAATATCGATGTTTCGGCCGTCCCTAGGTATATTTATTCCAATATAACTAAACTTCGGAAAACACTTAAGAGGCGCGTAAAGATTTTCCTTGTTTAAAATAGGGTGGTTATATGTCACAACCAAAGATTGGCAGAAGAAGGTAACACTTTTGAAGGAACGAATCACAGCGATAAAAAAGTAATGTAAACAACGATTTCGGTTGAAGGAATGTTTTTACAAAGAGATCTCCTTTTCAGTCAGTGGAATAAGTATATATTTCCCACGTTTTTTTTGTTGTTGTTTGTTTTCTTTTTAATATAGTAAATTGTACACAGCGTGAGACTCTTTAAAAACGAATACAATGTGTGTATATACATTATTATATAAATAGTTGTTATACATAATTTTATGTATTTGTATATTGTATTTGTGTTTACTGTAAGATATAAATATCACCATATAGAATTTTTTTCCGAATGAGTCACTATGGACTATATTTATTTCACCTTTCTACCTCTTTCTTTGCTTCCACATCTCTTTCCACTCGTGTCCAAGTGGCATCTGTCTTCTGTTTTGGTTTGTCCCAAAACTCTGTAAATTTCTAAGTTTAGCCCTCATTGAAGACCGTTTAGTAACATCTGCTGATGTAATTCTAATCTCCTCCAAATCCTTTTCAACAACTCTTTTGGTTTTGCGAGTGTTTTTTGTGGTTTTCACAGCGTTTTGTCAAGAGGGAAATGTTTGAGATTTCCTGGTAAAACTGTTCTGTATTCAGAGAGATAATGATAAAAATAGGGTTGGTGCTTGTGTTGGTTTTTGAAGTGAGCTGTTTTTTTCTCTAAAATAGTTGCATTTTCACGGCAACCAATTTGTATGCGGTAGTGGACTGGGGCAAAAGGGGGCTTTCTCATAGGTAATATTTACCGCCAACATTCAGGCATCCTCTTTAGCGAACTCGATCCAAACAAAACCCACGACCTAGTACATAACCGAACCCTGAATTGTTCTTTGCTACGAGTTCGTAGTAGTCCTGAAATAATATTATATTTTCATATTGTAACAGAGGTGGACCCATTTCTTGAATGTTTTCTTGATACCCATGACCTAAATTAAGACTAGGTCAATCAATCATACATATTATCAATAGAAAATAAAATTTCTCAATGGTCTTTGATAAATGACTATAATACCTCCAAAATCTTGTGGTAAAAATTTTACTTAGATGATAAATAGAGTAATAGTAATAGCAGTTTTTATAAATCGTCTCAAATGTCAACAAATATATTATCAGTGCTATAAAAGCGATATTGATATCTTTGCTGACTAGATGGTGACGTTGTGCAATGCAGCAGTGAACTTCATGTACAACAGATAGATTAGCTCATTTTCTTTTCCTTTTATTATAAGCAGACACATTAAATTTATTTTTAGTTGCGTTTAGTTAATTTTTTTGCATTTATTGTAACTAATTGCTGTTATTTTCACTTGATATTACTTAGTGAAATATAAACACCTCATTGGGTATATCCTGCTGGCTTTGTAGAATATAAATATATAGCATGCCAACATATATAAATAGAATATACATAAATAGCATTCTTAGAATTATATCAATAATTTGCTCATTTTTGAATCACTAATTCCCTTGCAGCTGCTATCATATTAACAAAACAAAGTGTTAATGATTCTACTTTTATTATGATTTTAAGTTAACTGTGTGCAGCACCCATGTAAAACAATATTTTTGTTTTTAATTCATTTTTGTTCCTAACCTGTCAACTATGATTCAACCAATGGTGGAATAAAAAATTAAATAAAAAAACTATCCATCTGTATTAACACATCAAAAATGTTAAAAATAATGTATTTAAAATATGAAAATATGTACATATTCAATACTAAATGTTGTATCTGCTATTTTATCTTGTAAAAACTTTAATTCAGTAGGCCTAATATCCTTATCCATAAATCCTTTATATACTTAACTCAATTCCTTATCATTTGAAATTCTTTAAAATGTTCTTTAAATCATTAGCACATTGACATGGTAAAAATATCGTCTGGCTTATCAGAACTTAAGATCCATAACAACCATATATTCAATTTTTTTATCCACATTTCTGACATCAACACGATATTCAAGATCTTTGACTACAACATCTGTAACACCATAAATTTGGGGGAATACACTCAACCTGGCAACAGTCAAAATACTTTTACTTAATGAGAAGATAACATCAATTAACCTATTCCTTAAAATTTCTGGAGACTTTCAGGAAAAAATAAAGGAAAATTCAGTGATGAAGATTCATCATTGAATTTTTCTTATTCTTCAATTTACATTCAGGTTTCTTTTTTTCACAAACAAAATAAAACAGTATGTAGAGCCAAATTTATTTACTCCTTGCTTTTTACAATTTATTTACATTCTTTAAAAGCTACATGCATAGAGTAGCTTTGGAAAGTAATGACATTTTTTAAAACAGAGAGCGCAAGATCATGTCACATGGATTATTTTCATACTTTATACAGTTTATTTACATAAACAATGCAAAGGGCTTCAAAAGCCAAAGGTGACAAAACACAAGACACAAACTGTGAAATTGGCATTGTAATAAGTTATGCTAATACAATTTTTTCTCTTTGAAAGACAGACCAGTGATACTCTCATGGAACCTCAAGGTTCATAACAGAAGCCTTTTGATGCTCCTTGCAAAGTCTTTTCAAAATGGCACTTGTATTAATATTAGACAGATTTCTTGTCCACCGTTCTTGCCTTGTAAAGGTTTTAGATTCATTTTAAGAATAATACAGCTTGTGAAACAACAAACAAACATGAAAAACATCTGGTCATAGATTATTCTAAGTACTTTACATACATACCCTCATACACACCTCTATTCCAGGTACAAGTAAAAACAATTCTGCCAGCAATACAGATAAATTTCTCCTGATAATGCAATATCAAAATGAGAAATCATAAATATAATACAGATAGGAAACTAGCTGCTCATCAATATTGACCAGAAAAAGAGGCATCCGCCTAATGTTTTAAGTCTTCTTGTTTCCCTACACACACATTGTCAGACAGTAATGCTAAACAGAGTGACAAAGACATCGAGGGAATTTGCTAACATCTCAAGGAACACATGCAAATTTTACTCTAGTTATGAAATTGAACATCTCAATCAATTTTACCAAAGATGTATGTATGATGTGAGAGAGGAATGCCATTTCGTTGCTCAGTCAAGAAAAAATTAATGAAACATGATCACATGATCTTTTACAAGTCTCCCAACCAGACTTCCCCACATTTAAGATTTTAGTTTCAATCCCGGCTTGTAAAGGTTTTATGAAACTAATGCAATTTTCAGTTAATTAAACTTATTATGGAGCCATACTTGTTAAACCCTTTCTCTTGTATATTAAACAATGCTTTCTGTCATTTATAAAAAACTGTTAATTTGCTCAGCGAAGAGGATAACATGGAGGTTTGTAAGCACTGTAAATTTGTAAGCCCACAACCATAATGAGCTCATTTGTCTTTCTTCGCTGGAAAAGTGAAACGTCCTCCACATTTTCCGGCAATTAGAAAACAAATAAACGATCAGTGTAAATGTGTTAATATTTAAGAAAGGTATTATAAGTAACAGGCGTTTTTCTTTTCATTTAGCAGTAATTAACCATAATTAAAACCATCCATCAATCTCTCCCAACGCAGCATGAAATTTGTTCTCATGAAATAAAAATAAATCTAATGTTATTTGTACTTTGAAACATATTTTGGCTTAATCTTTGAGATTATTTTCAAAAATTAGGAAATACTTTAAATGTCATTCATACTCAACCCACAAATGAATAACAGCGATTTGAATTTACAAATAACCTTTTAATTCTTTATCCCACAAACAATTGAATTGTTTTATGAAAGTGAAAAATATCAAATAAAATTTGAACCCAAAATGGTGGTAGTGAAATGGCAGCAAATAAGATCCAATCTGAATTATTCCGACTATAACTGCCATTGAAAAACCTTTTAACTCAAAGAACTAAATTTTCTACAAATGTATCCAAATGACAAGGCAAATCTAACCTTTTCAGAAACTAATTTTTATCTCCCTTCGTACCACAGTCACCAAACCCCATAGTTAGATATGATTTATGTTTCTTCAAATCAACATACCAACTTCACTTTTCAAATACATAAGGGGCCATCACAGGGTGTTTAGGATGAAAATATTTCCAAACTTTCAGATATTCTTCAAAAACATTCTTAAGGTTACTAATTTGAAATGAAGCCATCTCAATAACCTGTACACAGCAGAACTCTCAATTCCTTCTAATTTGAAAATTTAGAAATGTGCAAGGCAAAGAAAAAGTAATTGAGCAATAACATTTACATTATTAACGAATTGTCCCTTTGCACACTATCTATGATGCAGAAGACTGAACCAACTTTCTTTGGCAATACACAAATATTTTTCAAAAATAACAGTACTTTTTTGAATGATTAGCCTTTTCATTTTGAAATTCTAAGTCTAGTTTTGACTTTTGGCCAAATCAGAACTTTCTTTAATAAGAATTTAAGGGCAAACAATATGACTTATTTTTCAAAATAAAGACACTCACTGCAATTACAATACAAATTTCTACCATAAATTTAATGAAAAATCAATTTAAAGCAGGATAAAAAGAAAGAATGACGTCATAGTTGTATATCTCTTGCAAAGAATTATCTTGTCATATTTCATCATAGGAGACATTAGGTTCAAGGTATACAACCAACTATGAACGTAATTCAAAGATACAAAATTTAAATGATTAACACTAAACTTCTCATAGGACTACAACAAGGCCCTCCATAAATAAAAACCATATCCATTTCCAATCTCAACATAGTTTCTTGAATTTCAAATTCTTGATTGCTCCATGAATGCTTTTAGCAAACATAACAAAAGAGGGGAAAAAATTAAAATAAAAACAACAAACAAGCAAACAAATCCACTCCTGTCTTCTGGTAGGACCAGTGTCACCAGCTCAGAACCACTGTGTCAAACTCAGGCTGTCCAATACTGCAAGTTCTGGGACTATGTTGAGAAGCCAGGAGAACTACTTCGATCAGCCTCGCCAGCACTTAACGCAACATCTGGGCGGCTGGCATCTGCTACGCATACCACAGCCCCACTAGTGTTGTCTTCCACTGCTACCACACCACCCACAGCACCAACTGCATCTCCCTCTTCTTCTGAAACCCGACGACTGGCACACACAACGGCAAGCTCAAGGGGCTCGTTTTTAGAAATCACTGTAGGCCCTACAACAAAATAAATTTGACTTTCACAAAAGAAAAACTAAATAACATAAAGCATTAATAAAAATAGATGATAGAAGAGAATTCCACTCTTATTTCCGGAGAAGGATTAATATGTATTTTCCATTGCCGTTAATTCACACATTCTATATCTCCTTTTATTCTGTGAAGAATACTCAACATTGTCAAATCAAGAACCTAAATACATTGTTTATGTTTGGAGGACTGATTTTCTTTTTGGAAAACTATTTCTAGCAATAATTTTTTACAGATACCATCTTTGAAATACCATTAGGTAATCATAAGTAACAGATTTTGCCGCTACTCTTGATCTCCTTGAAAGAGTAGAGCACTCTGCTACCCCAGAACTATAAAACTACAGAAAATTGGGTCCTCACCATTTATTGGATCTGTAAACGAGTAACATTTTCCTGAATATAAGACGAGATTTTTTCCTTAATCTCTCATTAAAACGTTAGGGAGTTGTCTTATACTCCATATTAAGCCTTGTCAGTTGGGAATAGTCTTTTCACAGACTTTCCATATCAAGAAACTCAAATGCTGCTGTACAAGCAAAACAAGCTACAAAGAGTGTAACTATCAAGAATGAATATAATACCTAATTATATTCGTGGACCTTTTCTTGTCAACCACCAATTTATTGGGTAATTCTGCACAATATTTTTTAATGGACTGGTAAAGCAATAATCTCAAATGAATGGCATTATACTGAGTTAAACGCAATGTGAAAACTAAGCGTTGCTGAGATTTTGTCACTTGATGTTCCGCAAGGCCACATTCTCTGGGTTCAGGACTGATTCTCTAACAGCCATTAACTTTTATGTTTACATGATCCAGTTGTGAAGTTAACCTTTACATCTCAATTCCACAGGTAACACAGAAGAAAGCAAAGTTACCAATATTTGGAAATTTTTTGATAAGACTGATCGATTGATTTTATTTATTTATTCAAAATTAAATCCAACATGCATTATACCCAAAGAAAGGATGGCAAACACATTACCCATCTTAGGCGTTTACATACTGATACGGACTGAGCAACAACGAATCGGTAGTCTCTAAACAAATCAATCAAAATTGCAGATCACAAAAAGAATTGACTATATTAGAAATATGAAGTAGTCAAAGATTACTACATCTAACACATTATTGTGAAACAGTGAAATATAGATCAGAGGAAAATTACATACATCATGATTTTTGTACTTGTATATTTCTGTTGTTATGAATGTATCATTTTTTGTAAAGGGTTAATCCAATTTATTTAAATAAATAAATAACATTCAGGTTAAAAAAAAACAATGATATCTTGGCAACCATTGCTAGAAATAATAAAACACTAAAGTGTTAATAATTGCTCTGATTCTGGCCAATTTACCCACCTGCTGTGTCTGGTGGGGGAGAAGAAGAAGAAGAAGCAGTCTTTATAACAGACTGCACTGCACTACTGGACGTTGAGGGCAGTGCCAGTGAAGCAGGGGCGTCTCCTCCCTCCAGCAAAGTAGATGTACTGGGCACAGTGCCAGGAGTTGGCGATGGGTCCTCCACTTGTGCGGGGCACTCAAAATGGACACAGTGGAACACCTACACAAGAGACACTTGCAATGCAATCTCGATCTTTTCTGCATACCTCCCTCTGCTGAATTGCATGTGTGAAAGCATGCATTGGTATGTGTGTGTGAAAGATACATGGTGCAAGCATTGGAGTGTACTCATTACATTAGTGCATGTGATTTGTGTGCCCATTCCATCCTTCTGTGAAAGCGTTTGTTTATGCACGTTCCACTAGTGTAAGCTTTGGTGTATACGAGTTACATTAGCACAAGCACTGGTATACGAGCATTACATTTACGAGTGCACATGCGTGTGTGTGTGAGATACACGAGTGTACACGCTGCTGAGTGATACGCGAGTGTACACGCTGCTCTGTGATGCGCGAGTGTACACGCTGCTCTGTGATGCGCGAGTGTACACGCTGCTGTGATAGGCCAGTGTACACCCTGGTGTGTGATATGAGAGTGCTCAAGCTGTGTTCATGGACAGTTTACCCTTGGCATTTGTAATAAACAGGTGGACATGCTATCTATTTACATAGGTAATTTTTTTATGCATGTAATCTTTGATACTAAAATTGGCAAAAACAATTCAACAAAATTAGATTTTTATAGTGTAATTTTTTAAATAGGAATCCATTCAGCATTAACTTTTTATGAGCTTTGTACACAAAAAACCTAATACAAAATATAACCTAATGCAAAATATTATGGTATCTTATGACTTAAAAATTAAACTCTTTTAAAAATGTTGAAATTGTGACTTTCTTGGTAATTTTCTGTTCCAACATCTCTGAATGCAGACCAGCTCAAAAAATGACAGTTGCCCCCCATCTTTATAGCATGGAACTAGAGTAAAATTTTCAGATTTGATATTCAACTAATGTATGTATAAAAAATTGCAAATTTAAGCACAAAATACATCATTTTGACATCTGTGATAAGGAATGAGCCAGGGGTTATTATTTCAGCCATTTTAAAATTGAAGTAAATAATAATTATAAATTACAATGTTACAATTGATCTATTTTAACAGCGTATTTATAGCAGACATCAATTATAAAAATTTGTCCTGTTATAAATCGAATTGTAATGGATAATTTAGAATATAATTTAAATGCAAAGTTATCTCTAAATCAGAATGAGGTTACCTTGATCATTAGAACCCCATCAAGATAATAACTAAGTAGTTAAAAATCACAAATAAATTGAGCTTGTTGCTTATTTTCTGGGTCTAAATTCACCATGTTATCTACTGTGACTACATTTCTTCCATGATTCTGAAGCACTGTATGTCTTATATACAAAGACCACATTGAATGAAACTAAAGAAAATGCCAACTGTGCTATTTTAACACCACTCCCTACTTTGTCAAAAAATTAGTCTATGATTAAACAAATAAAAAAACTATTAAAAGAGAATAAAGACTTTGGATAGTTATTGACAATTATTTACTCTTAAGGTAATTAATTATTTTAGTAATGTTCAAAATTGCTCAGAGAAACAGTTTACCTACTTCATTGAACTCTGGTGAGGTTATTCTTAATTTGAAGATTTTGTAATCCTTTGAATGTAAATATATGTGTGCATTACATGCATTTTCAAACAGAAGAATGTGATGTTTTCACTATATTGTTACCAAATAATTAACTTAGTTCAATGTATTTAAATAATTGAATTATAACTAAAGCCGGACACAAAGACACTGTTCAAACTGCTCTCAGTGACCCCAGTGGGCCAAGACCACTATTTTCAACAATGTTAGTACCCACAATGCAATTATTCAGAATGAACTATATCAATACTAGGTTTGATATTGGAGTGCACCTTCTGCGTTGACAGACAAAAAAGGCAACAATAGGTAATTAATGTAAGAGGCAACACCATGCAAGCCTTTCGTTTGACAATCTTAAACAAAAAATTGATTTCACTATCAATGGCGAAATAACTGACCTACATGTATGACCCAGTTCCACATGCTCAATGATGAAAAATTAATTAAAATTTGATTGCACAAGGCATGATGCAAACCTTTGCATTGTTGTGCAACTGAAACTGTGCAAGCACAGGAAAAGATGTCATTTTTTGACAATTATGTTTTAAATTATTTCTTATTACTAAAGTTAATTAAAGTCTCCTCTGTAAGGGAGCTCACTGTGAAGAAAAAATGCATCAAGGCTACCAGAAAACTGCACACAGATTATGCTATGCCAATAGAGCACAGAAAAGCTGAGAAAGAGCCGTTCTGATCCATGATAAACTACATATAATACATAATCTATATTTCACAGGCAAATAAGCACACTCACTTTCCAAGACTGCAAAATTAAGAACGATCAATAATTAATCTATTTTATGCAGATGTAATCATAACTGTCATGTACATTAATTTGGATGTGAAAATGAATCAGTTTTTTTTTAAACTTAAATTAACCCTTTTTTAACATTCTATGAAACTCAAAGTTTAAATTTTTACTGATGTTAGGTATTTATTCTGAGATCTTACAACAGTGTGATTAATAGATTTTTATCTGAATATCACTAATCAGAAATATTACTGCTGAAAGTAGCATAAAACCAACATGTGTTTCAGTGCTTGAAAGGGACTGAAACAAATAAACAAAATTATAATAATGAAAAATCAAAATTTCATCTGATCTTACTTTGTGGAGCTGAATTGGATTTTGAAGAAACAAATAAAAAGTGTGATGAAATTTTTCAATATAAAAAAAGTTGTAGACATCACATTTCAGACATTTTAATTTTGGCAAACAATTTACGTTTTCACAATTCAATAAACAATTCTGGCATATGTTTCCATGAACTATAAAAACCTCTTGAAACAAAAGAAAGGTATATTCAAAAAGGGACATTAATGAAAGTTCAAAAAAGGAGACCACATGCACAACATGCAAGTGATAAAGGTCAGGCAGACAAACAAATGATACCTAAACCAAAATGATATCTTAAAAAAACAAAAATAATAAATTTTCAGGTCATAAGGTGCTATTCTGCACTTTCCATTCCAATGCCTCAGAAGTTATTTGAAATGTTGGCTCAGAGCTAAGAACACCTACATTTCAGCTTTCAATAGGCAGAACCAGAAAGCAAAACTACCATGAAAACAATCAACCAGCACATAAAACAAACAAAATGAAACACCTCCAGAATATAAAGTAGAATATAACTTTGTACTTTGTGATGATGATTAGATCGATTTTGCCCTCTCCCATTATGTTTCATTCCCTGATTATTCAGAGCTCTCAGGGAATTACTATATTTCTGTAAAATTCAGTCTGCTACAAAAGTTTCAGTTAGCACAATTTTCAATTGTACCCAAAGAGAAACTGATGTCGATAGCTACAATGTACCTCCAAAGCTGTGAGCCAATACTTCGGATTGCAATGAATTTCAGTTTTTTATTAATTACTCCCTCAGATTGCCCAGATACCTGTGTTACATTAAAAAAATCATCTGATTCCCTAAAAAATTATATGTTGAATAAAGAAACTAACAGTGGCACAGACTTCCTTGTACTAGTTGGTTATCTAATTTTCTTGGTCTGAGGTAGCTATTCAGACTTCCCACATACACTTGCCAGCTACCATCTACCACTGCCCAAAGAACAGTTTTTTAAAAATTTTCAATTTTTCAATTTCCCAATAGTAGAACCCCTAATACTACTTTAAGAATAATAGAGAAGAGTTAAAGCACACCCTATAAGGAAATGTTCATTGAAAATTTGGAGTTGTTTTTGAGAAAATATCATTCTATCTCCAGTGTACATGCAAAATCTGAAAGATTTTTTCACAGAAATCTTATGAGTTTTCGTAAAACATTATTGTAAGTCATTTGAAGCACTTCTAATGACAAATGCAATAACGCAGACAAATTTCCGGAAATGTGTAGTTTAACAGCATGAGAGACATTAAAAAAAAAAAACACATGTGTAATTTTAAAAAAAAAAAAAAAAATACAGAAGAATCAATTTTATGTCATCTTAATCAGTGCACTATTAGCACTATCTCTACTACAAATTTCAAGAAAAAATTTGGAGCCATTTTTAAGAAAATAGCATTTGAACATTTATAAAAAAAAAGGGGAATTTTGAGCTTGTTTTCACAGAAAAAGTGTTGAGTTTTGAAAAACTTTATAAGACATCGCATTTGCATATTTAAAGCACATGCACTTGTAAATGTAAAAATATAAAGAAATCGCTGCTAATGAAAATATTATTCTATATTGATAATATTAATAATATAATAATATTATATATTATAATAATATAACGAGAGACAAGTCTAAAAAAATTTAGAATTTAGTACCTTTTATAAACCAAAATAATAAAACAGATAGGTGTTTATGTCAACTTATAGAGCACATTTAGCACTATTCCTACCAAAAGTTTAAAGAAAAAAATTTTTACGCCTTTTTGAAAAAGTTTTGTTTTTTTTATTTATTAAACATATTGCACGGAAAAACTAATAACTTTTTGAAAAATTTTACGGGACCTTAATGAAAGAAACCACTATGGAGAAAAATATTTCTTGAAAGAAAAATCTCAGTCTTCAATTTCTTAGTTGTAGAAAGACATGAAAAAAATGTTTCGAAAATTCAGAGTTTGGACCTATGCAACCTTTATAAGTGCATTTCACTCTTTCCTTGCAAGAAAGCCAGTTTTGAGAAAATTTTTGAAAATGTCCATTTCTTGTAAAATACCATCAAATTTTAATGAATGATTTTCAAAATCGCAGTGCTTCAAGTCGAGTCAGATTGATCGGGGAATATCCATTTTGAATAAATCTTACATATGGTTTAGGCAATAGTGGTGTTCACAGGTGGACATTTTGAGAAAAAAAGTATATTTTTTTCAGCATCAGGGTACAATGCATTTCCTTTGAAATCTCAAAATCTATTTTCCGCAGCATTACGTAACTTTCTCTATTATACTTATATGAAAAAGTAAAAAGAAATTTCAATTTCATAAATTTGTTAATATCTAAAAAAAGGGGTCATAATAAGAAACTCCCATTTCCCAGAGAAAGCAAGAATATTAAGCTTACTTACAGATACCCGCTTACAGAGCCCCAAAGAACCCACCCACCTTAAGCCTTAGCACAGGCGCACTCATCCAATAGAGTACCTCGTTGGCTGTGTTGTGAGTGCCCACGATGCGCACGTACACGACTGGTCGTGGTGGAAAGCGCAGCAGCTGCCACGATCGGCACGATTCTCGAGTGCGATCTGCCACAACTTCCCAGTCCCACATGTTCACAGAAACTTCCACATAATATGAATACGAGCGTTCATCACAGTCCCATAGCAGTAGCCTGAGAAAAAAATAACAGGAAAAACAACAAGTTAATTCACATGATATTCCAACGATGCTAAATGTTTCTTCTAAAATATAAGGCAGTCAAATTTTCTAATTTGTTAATTAGACACTTAAAGTTATTGCAAAATTTAAGAGAGCATCCTCAACACAAATTCATTATTAATGAATAGCAAAGGGACAATTAAGCTGCTGTCACCTCATTTTGAGCTCCTGCAAAAACTGAAATTCCAATAACCAAAACTGAATTGAAATCATGACTTTATAGAATTATTTGTGCCAATACACCACTTTCTAGTAAGTCTGAATTGACATTGTCATTTTAGTCCAAACGCAAAACCAATGTAAATTCCCAGTATTTATAAAGCATCATTTTACTTGATCAGAAATGAATAGAACTATCCCACCAGATATTCACACCCTTCCTTCATGCTTCAAAGCAAACTGTATTATCTGTTCCTCAAAAACTATTTGGTCACGGCAGTGATTGCTTCTAAATTTTGAACAAATACATTTGAGCAGCCAAGTAAACATATTGGGGAAGGGGGTGCAGGGTCAGGATCCCAAAATATTACCCAAGATTGAGTTATTAATAGAAGAAAAATTACCCACAATTTTTATCATTGTTGCTGTGGCGAAGAAATTACTTCTTTATTATTTCTAATTGCATTATTTTAATGAGTGTGTTGAAGACAAACAGAAATCACTCAATTTACATAAAGTACCATCATCCGCTTTCCACGATTAACATGTAAATGAGTAATTTAATGGAAATGGGCCCACGACTTTCAGGAAATGGATGTGCTCTGCAGGAAAACCGGAATATGTTAACAAGATTATTTATTGTTAAAATCTTGTAATTGCTGAAAGTAAGAGTAGTATTTTGAATATATAAAATAAGGGCTATGAAAGTTGTTTTGTTAATGAAATCTCAAAATGTTTACTTTCACATCGTTGAAGTCAGCGAGCTTCATATTCTGTTACATTAAATCCCCATATTACCAGTTACTTTAAACTGGGCAAATTTTAAATGCCAATAATGCGACCCTAACATTGGTTTACTAGATAACTGTACAGGAAAATAAATATATTCATGCAAATAATTATCGAAACTAGTAATAAACTGTCGAACTTTTAGATGACACTTCTGCTATCTTGGCCATAATAATGAAGCATTTGAAGGTCATCAGGTTCATATTACTCCTTCTAAACCTTCCCCTGGAGGCGTGTGTGAGATTCTTCTCACAAAGGCAGTGCTATTATAACTGCAAGTTTTCTTGAGCCCTCAATCCGCTTGTTGCGAGAAGAGTGGAGGAATTGGTTAATGACCGTGGCCACCAGAGATTTTTAAGTACTATCAAGCTCTGCCATCACTTAAGATTGTATTGTTATATTATACAATCAATATGAGTACAGATTCTGCTCTCCTCAAATAGATTTACAAATACTTTCATGTAAATATTGTATGAATTTATGTTTAGTATTCATTATTAGTTTGCATGCTCCCATGCTAATAATATTATTAATAATATTGATATTAATAATAATAATAAAAATAACAACAATAATAATAATATGAACATTTAAATAACTTTTTATTTAAAATTATCAGATTGGTGAGTTTTGTCCCCAAGTTACGCCCACAATTAGAACTGTGTTGTGAAAACAGTAATTCCAATAACCATGTTCAAATATGAAGAAGAATTATGATTAAATATAAGGAGATTACAGAGCTGTAGAAAATGCATTTAAATTTCACATATAAGTTACCTCTGTTTGCCAAGTGTTTCTGGAGTATCATAAGGGTTTCTTGATTTTATTCTCTTTACAGTGGATTCACTAACCCCTGTATAAGCAGACGCCCGTTTCAATCATTGGGGAATGTTATGACGTAATAAATGGGTTTCTTTTCCAATTACGCACATCTCCGCAACTCTGGCATTTATTTTTTTCTCTTCTATGAAATGCCTTATGTACTTGTTTGGGAGGAGTTCAAGGTAGCTCCTGTGAGGGATCTAGTCCAAACTCAGCTGTTTTCACTATTAATTTTTTTAAATTTCTAAAACTCCACGAACTAAAACAATCCACTGTCAAATGCGGCCTGAAGGGCACTGCAAAGGATTGTATTGTTATGTCAACACTGTTGCTGCAAATGTCATGCTATTCGACTCTTCTAGTACAGAATGAGGAGATGGTTAGCTCACGAAAAAATGCAGATAATTTAATATGCCCCTTCGGTTCCGCCTACCCCCTCTTTGAGCTCACGAGCCGTGCTACTGTACTGTACTGTACTGTCTGTATTTTTTTCTGAACCTTCTAGTTTTTCAACATTAGTTTCCAGACTTTTTTCTCGATGTTCCTACCACAATTTTTGAAGTATTACCATACTTACTCAAACATAAGATGAGTTTCTTTCCAAAGTATCTCATTTAAAAAATATGGATTCATCTAATATTCACAGATAAAGCTTAGACTGTTAGGATTCATGTTTTTACATTATCATTCAATGTCATAAAAATCATAAATGTTAATGAAATAATAAGCTGTGGAGGTGATAAAAATATCAAGAATAAATAGAATACTTAATTATACTTGCCACACATCATATTCAACATATTCTTGGCATGCACTGAGCATTTGCCAAGCAAATTCCACACCAGACATATATTTGAATGAGCTGGTAAAGTGAGAAACTCAAAAAATGTCGTTGTGTCAAACGAAATGTAATGTACAAGTCAATATAAATTGTTGAGATTATGTTACATGATGCGTCAATCAACAAGGTTATGTTGACTCTGCTTTGTTGCCTGGCAAGGGCGAATCTGCTTTTGACAAGTTGAAAACAAAAAAAAAAATATCTATGTATCCTTTTCAGAAGAAGAAAAGATTCCCAGAATGGTATGTTGTGCAGAACTGGTGGTCCACCAATGTAGTGTGTACTGACAGTGTATAGAGATATGGTGAGATCTTACAAAAATAATTTTAATTAGAGATAAGACAATGCTCACTAATGAACCTTGAATTTCTCGATAGTAGAAGTTTACCTCATGGAGCCTAGCCAGTAGGGCTGTCCCAGCTGCACCAAGATGGCACCAGAACCTAATTGATGACAGGTATAGCCCAAGTCCCAGTCGTAGTTCTTTGTGTCCCCATTTAGGAGAGCATTGCGACTGCGACTCACACCCTCAATCACAGATGCACTTTTCTCAGCTGTAGCCATATTTTCCTTTGGGACTGTAAAATGTACAAATTTTATTTTTAAACAATTAGAAATAAGACAGACACAGGTTTCATATGTTAATGAAATCCACAGATGGTTCTATTAGAAAAACAAAACAATATCTTGAAATAAGTAACTCCCGAAGAACCACTAAAAATATACAAGGAATGCTTTGCTCTCACTCTGCCAATGATTGCCACACTACAGAATTATTATTTGTGACAAATTCTAGTCTAATAAATCCTCATTGCCTCCTCTATCACATTTTCTTTCTCAACCAGTACAGATTCATGATCATGAAGTAGAAATAAGAAGTGTAGACCAAAGGATTTGATTGGAACAAATTAAGTCATTAAAACAGTTTGCAGAGGTTTTGGAATATTTTTATTCCATCCTCAAGGTTGATGGTAAAACATAACATTATAGATATCCAACATAAAAACAACATTATAGATATTAAAATGGCAATTACTACATAATAGCGTACTATACATTATTATGTATACCTTGCAGTAAGGTCAGTACAGTTGTGATCATTATGTTCAGTATGCTATTACGTTGTAATGGTCATTTGTATATCTGCATTGTTGTTGTGCTTATATTCTCATGTTTAACCATCAGCCCTGAGGATGGAATAAAAATCTTCAGAAACATCAGCAAACTATGCTTTAATGTCTTAATTCATCTGACCAAACCCTGTGACCTACATTTCCCATTATCATTCTTCGTTTAATCAAATTGTTATTTCGAGAATAGACATGCAGAAATCTTACAAAATTTTGAAAAATGTTTGAAATGGCTCTGAAATTAATCTTTATACTCACCAATTAATCCATTATGAAGTTGGACTGGTGTGTGAGTGTACATGGCCTCAAAGGTAACAACGTGGAACACCTTGTTGACAGTGTTATTGGTACCCACAATGCGTATGAAGCGCACGACTCGGGGAGCAAAGTATAGAAACTGCCATGAGCGACAGTGGTAGCGGGTATGGTCCACAACACGCACCCAGTCTTTCTGGTTGATAGACACCTCAATGTAGTATGAGTATGCTCTATGTAAATAAAACAGTCTTATTAGTTTAAGTCATGAATCTCTCTAGTTTAAGTTATCTGTTGTTAGTTTATTATTAGTGAAGTATGTCATCGTATGTATTAGTTTAGTAACACATGCGCTCAGAATCCACGTTTTTCTGATACTTCTACTCAAAAACCATGATGGTTCTGGATACAAGAAAAAAATGTTTACAGCACAAACATTCGTTGTTTTAATCAATGCTAACAGCTAAACTGTGAATAGAATGTTAACCACAAGTTATATTTTCCAATTGATCTGGCTGATATTGAAATCTCTTTAATTTGAAATGGATATTTTGATTTAGGGGATACTTTACTTGAAACCTCAAAGACATTCCACAAGCTTTTCCCAGTAACTCCAGATTTTTTCTTTAAAGTTTTTTCCTCATATATAGAAAAGTTCGATAATAAACACGGTACAGATACAATTTTTGTTAAATTCTCTATTTTTCCAAAAATTGAAAATACTTAAAATTTTCTTGTGCATTTCCTTACAAATACAATAACAACGATAGAAATTTATTAATGACATGTTCTTCAAAATGTGAACATTAAAAGATGGTCATGCACAATTTTTTTATAATATGAGTAGTTTTTGAGTAACTATGCATGAAACAAAAGCGATTTTAAAAATGATCTCAAAAATATCTTTCCAATCCAAATTTTTCTTTAAACACTTTTCTGAGATAGTGTGAAGTACGCATATAAAAATTGCGCAAGTATGATATTCATAGAACTCTTTGTATTTTTCAAAGTTGCACAAGTTACGAATATTGCGAGAAAGTATGTGCTATTGTAGCAGCACTAGTTGAGTCAAGAGTACGAATTAATCTTAATGGCAATGAATTGCATTGCATTGCATTGCATTCTCTGGGGGAACAACAAATATCTAGTTCATAATGGTGAATGCGAACTATAGGCTGTCCAATGAGAGAATGAAGAAGATGTAAACAAAGCGCAGAGTATTCCTCCACTGAAAAGCATGGTCCGGTACCACTGTGCTGTCATCTTACCAACTGCCGCCAATGACTGTTGGTGATCTGGAATTCATTCTAATGGTGCACAATAGCCAACAATTGCAATGAGCATGAAGCGCAAAATAACAATAACGGATTGCTTCATAATTTGGGGTAGAGACCATAGCACTTTTAAGGATAACAATGCTTTACCTCTGCATACCAATTGCTTAAGTTATTATAAACATTGTTGATAAGATGACATGGAACTTTAGCACTTGCTAAAACAAGAGCTTGTCTCGTGTGTCCCAATAATTTTTATTACTTATGTACCCAACATTGATACAGCACTGCAGGAATCTATCACTGATTGAACATGAAAAAAGTAGTTCATTCTGAATGTGACTCAATAGCTCAATCATCTATCGATGTCAAATTCTGTATTTTTCTTTGCGCAACGAATTGAATCCGCTAAAATAAATTTAAAACAACAGTTGTTTTGCCACATTCTGTCATCTTTTCTCGCGAATGTTTTATGATTTCAGACAATGACTGCGATGGAGATGGTAGTTCTTTCATGACACTTTAGTAAAAAAATGCACTACACAATACACTCAATAGCCATGTCACATACACAATCACATACCCACAATTTAAAATGACATCTTGATATTATAATGCAACTTTCTTTCACTTCATTAATTCTGCACAACTGAAATAGTTTCATTACCTTACAACCACACGTCATGTTGCCTGCCATAAAATTGAAACTATTACTTTGCATGGTATTAATCTTTGTTTACCCCTCTCGTTTAAAGTAACACACATCATGTTAAGAAATTTTACACTTATTCAAGA